TGAAGAAGTCATTATGCTCTGTTTTTCAGTGATAGGTTGGTTCTAGGTACAACGTTGTTTGCTGGGTGTATTCAATTGGTTTAATCTATTTATATATATATATTTTGAGGGAAATAATTAATGGAGGAAAAAAGGAATGGAAAATAATTAATGGAGGGAAAACAAATAGCAAAGAAATTGAGAGAAACAGAAATGGAGGGAAAAATAATTTTCGGAACTAGTGGATTGCCCTTGTCGGTCAATTGGCTGGCCGTCCCCTTGGTTGACCTGTTTGTTGATGATAGCCAAAATTGCTCTATTGGAGTGTTAGATATCAGATGGAGTTTTTACTCAAATTTGGTGAACTAAATGATTTACCATTGAAGATACTCTTATAAAAATAGTTTCCAAAGTGTGTATGTGAAAAACATAAAGAGAAAAATAATGCTCCTTCCATTCCAAAATAATAGTCTCTTTTGGAAAATTTAACTTTTTTTGGTAGTACAATTATTATACTTTAAAAATGTTAGTTTTTCAAAATTACGCTTTGATAGTATATTTTTTCAAAATATCAATTGCCATAATTGTACTTTTTGTATTATTAATGGATTTAAAAGAAAGGCAAAATAGGAAATTCATATTATTTTAATTGTTGATTTTTGAAAAGGGACTAATATTTTGGGACAATGAAAAATGGAATAAGAAACTAATATTTTGGAATCGAGGAAGTATATATATGTATTATTTCATTAGTTAATATTAGCAATTTGAGAAAGCATGGTTAGTTGGAATATTCTTTTACCTATATCAAAAGCTTTGCTTGTTTCTTCTATTTTATAATGAAAGAAGAAAAAGTAAATGGGGATTCACCAAATTGACTTGATATTCACCTACCCCACCCCAAAACTAATGGGGATTCACCAAACCAATACTATAACCAATCCATAGGGAAAAGAATTGAAGCAAAACCGCACCTATAAGTGCGGGGTGGGGTGGGTCCCTATCGGGTCGGAGCATCGTTTGTCATTGGGGAATGCGTTTCTACCATTGGAAATCGAAATAGGAGAGGTTTTAGTGGTGTGGGACGTAAAGTGAAAAATAAAAGAAAGAGAAGGAAAGGAATGATGGAGAAGTTGATGGTTAAAGAGGAAAAGAACTAGGTTGATGTGGGTTAGAAAATAAGGTCGAGGTGGAGGTGGTGGGTAGTAAGGGAATTGAGGTAGAAATGAGGTGGAGGTAGAGATGGTGAGTGAAAGGAAAGACATGTGTCGGTGGCGGCGGAGAAAAAACAAGTGCTGGTGGGGGAAGTCCAGGTTGGTGAATAGTTTAGAAATGTGGTTGGTAGAGAAAGTTGTTGTTGTTGTTGTTGTTGTTGTTTTTTTTTTTTTTTTTTTTTTTTTTTTTTTTTGCAAATGATATTATTATTATTATTTCAAAATGTAGGGTCATTATTGAAGGATAGAAATGTAAATTACTTTTTCCAATTACCTGTGACCTCAAAATTAATGGGCATCATAATAAGATCTAAACTTGAAAATTAATTTAATAAAGGGTTTCTAATCGTTGTTTTTAAAATATTCATCATAACTCGTCAATTATAAAAATAGAAATTACTATTATCAAATTAAAATCTAAGATAAATTTAAAGCTTTGTCTTAAAATATTCATGATAAGAAAAGTAGCTTAAAACTATATACCTAGGGAAATATTGATGGGACTTGAGCACGTTGCAGGATAGCCAAGATTAGCCGTCACCTTTATATGTCTCGGCATTTTCTTCAGCTTCCTTGGTAACTAACATAATACCCCATGAGTTGCGAAACCCAATAGGATTTTTTGATAGAGCATGAAATGATGGGGAGACATTTATGGCCAAGAGCAATAACCTTCGACGGATTTAGTTTTAAAATTTTAGAAAGAAATGAGTTATCACTACTACAAAAACAGTTAAAGATCACACTTTGATAAATGAAAATATCTCACTTTTATTGGAAGTGTGATAAAAAAAAGATTAGATTGATATTTTAATCACACTTGATTTGATTAAATGTAATAATATTTATTTTTTAGTCACTTTTCAATTAAGTGTGATTATATATATATTTTTAATCACACCTTCTAATTAACATGTGATTACAGATCACATAAGAAAAATTAAAAATATTTCACATTTATTAGACGTGTGATTAAAAAAATTAAAATGATTTTTTAATCACACTTAATTTAATTAGTGAGATAATATTTTTTTTAATCACACATTTTAAATAAGTGTGATTATATATATTTATTTTCATCACAGTTTCAGGTGTGATTATATATAATTTTTTTAATTTAATTTTTATATAAAATAATTATTCCCATATTCACGCCTCTTCTACACGATTGAGATGGCAATGACTCTTTGAAACACCCACCAAGATTGAATTTGCTAAATGCGTACAGGCATTATTATAATAATGTAAAAATCACACGAAAGAAATTTAAAATAGTTCACTTTTATTAGAAGTGTGACTAAAAAAATTAAAATAATATTTTAATCCAATCAATTTAATTGAATGTGATAGTATTTATTTTTAATCACACTTTTATTAGAAGTGTGACTATATCTTTTTTCTAGTTGTAGTTGCTAAGGCTTGGTTTGGGGTGTTGCAAAAAGTTACAAAAAACAGCAAAAAAGTTATTACTATTCACAAATTAAAAATATTAAAAAATTAATATACATAATATTTTAATCAAACAAAATTTACACAATTTTCAGGGCTAAATTGACCCTTTAGTACCGTGAAAGGGAAAAAAAAAGAATTACATATATAAAATCACTAAGTTGGATGGAAATGTTAGGCCCATGGGGGCCCATCACAGGTCCCGTTTTGATAATCCGAACCGTCAATATGTAGAACTCGTCCAGAACTATATTCCTGAAAAAAATCATGTTGATCGGAAATCAGTAACTACATGATCAAATCAGTTTTGTATAATAAATGGATGGTGTCATAGTTAACAGTTGACAAGAAAAACTAACCCGATCATATAGCTATTGATATCCAATCAATGTGATTTTTTACAAGTATATAGTATTCGACGATTTCTACATATTGAACGGTTCCGATTAGCAAAACGGGACCCGTGGTGGCCCCCCATGGGCCGAACAGCACCGTCCAATTTATGCCCAAAAAGGAGAGAATCAATCTCCTACCCCTACCCTCTGCCGCGCTGCGCTTACGCATCCGACCGTACGGCGTATTCCATCACTAACTTCTCCTATACACTTATTTATACAATTTTTTAATACATATTTTTTCATAAAAAGTCAAAAAGTTAATCCAAACATCCATATTTTTTTCCTAAACTTTTTAGTCCAAAAAGACAAAAAGTGCACTTATTTAGGACACCCCAAATAAGTGTTACAGTGCGTTTCGTTTCATTTTTTTGAATTTAGTTATCTGAAAATTGAGTTTTTTATTTTTCATGTCTTTTTTATTTTTAGTGAATATTTTTAAAATTTTAAGTAATTTTTTACTTTTTTAGATGTACCTTAATTAGATATATCTAAATAATAAATTATTTGTGAAAAAATATTTAAAAAATTAATAAATACATAAACATACGAAAAATGTATTGAATTTTTGTATTTTTTTTATATTTTTGGTATTTAATGAATTTTTTAAAGATTTTTTTTTCACAAATATTATACTTTCTAAGTGTATTTATGTTAAGTGTGTTTAAAAATTAGAAAAATTGTTTAAAATATTAAAAAAATTCAGTGAAATAAAAAAAAATAGAAAATGAAACAATAAAATTTTTGAAAAGTGAATTCTGAAAACAAACAGAGTGATTTTATTTTATTTTTCCATTTTTTCTTATCTATATAACAAAAGAAAACAGTTTTTGAAAATGTCTTAGACCATCTCCAACGCTTCACCAAACTTGACATCAAATTTAAATTTTGGTGAAAAAGTTACTGTTTGGTGTTTCAACGGTTGTACCAAATCGATATCAAATTGAGAATTCACCAAACAATTCATCAAAGTGATAACAGAATACAGGTCTCACAAAATTACTGTGCGTGACCGTTGGAGGAGACCAAACGGTCAACCGGTTGACCAACCGGTTGACCGATTCCCTTTCAAATAGGTAGGTTCAAACCGGTCAAAAAGGTTCAAACAAGTAAAAAAAAAAAAATTTTAACTTACCGGTTGACCGGTCGGTCAACCAACCGGTCAACCACCAGCAAACTTACTAACTTTATGCTTCCTCTTTTCAATTTTTTTTACAGAAAGCATCTGAAAAGTACTCCATTACACGAACGGAACTCAAGGAAGGGTAGGTAACATGGTTTCATCATTGAAATATTCTAAAAAATTTACATGGTTGAAGGAATCCTTTCATCATTAAAGGAATTTACATGGTTGATCCTCTAGCTGACAGAACAAATTTAAGAAAACAATTGCAGCCGGCGAAATTGTTGTCTGTAGAAGGATTGAAGAAGGCTTTAAGGTTTGTCCAATTATCCTGGTTATCTTGGCTCATTCTGATGCACTTCGATTTCACCACTTGGACTGTGAGTCTGGATTCAACTTTGACAGATTCTTAGATCTAGTTATTCAATTTTGGGATTTAGTTGACTCTAGTATACCTCAATCTTCAAATTCATCTTCAATCTCTGTTTCAAGTCCAGATTTTTTGATTTAATTTCTGATCAGTGACTCTTGGATCTTTGATCTGGAATGTGGCCTTACCGGTCGACCGGCCGGTCGACCAACCGGTCGTCCCTCCCCCTTTTGATGTACCGTTGGAGGCAGTGGTATCAAATTGAGAAAATCATCATTTTTTTTTCTCAGAGTTGATGAAAAAAAAAGTTCACCGGTGGAGATGCTTTTAAGAGTTACATTTGAATAGAACGACTAGGATTAATTTTGTATTAGATCCAACGGTCTGATTTACTCCTCTAACTTTCAATATCCCGCCCAAACATTTCTCCTCACTCTTCCTTCCTTTCAATAGTTTGAAACCACCCCAACTCCTCTCTCTCTCTCTCTCTCTCTCTGGACATGAATCATCCCATGGCCAAGGAATTCAATGTCCCTCCGGTGGTGTTCCCCTCCGGAGGAACACCTGCATCGTTTGCAACAGCGGCGGCTTTCGACGGTACCGTTCTAGTTGCCATAGTCCACAAACCCTAGCATCCCATTCATGTCCTTCGACATCGTTCTTGGCTCCGCAATTCGGTGGTAATATTTCGGGAATCGAAACCGGGTTGGATGACAAACCACCTCTACTCAAAAAGTTTGGAATCAATACGAGACAAATTTGGAGCAAAACTGTATCGATTGTGAACCCGTTTAGGGTGAACACGAATCTACAAGAATATTCTAATTTGTCAGGTATGTTTCTCTTCGTGATGGCTTTTGGGTTGTTTCAATTGCTTGCTTGGAAGCTACATTTTGGGAGTTTAGTGGATTGGGCCACTGTTTCAGCTTTGTTTCTTTACGTTGTGTTCAATAAAGTATTGGGATTATGTGTGTTTTGATGTTTGTGCTTTTAGTTACAATAACTATTATGTGTGCACAAATGTTTATTTTTCTGTGGATTTTGATATCTTTTAGGCTGTGATTGAATCATGCTATCTGTCTATAGCTGTCTTCCTTTTAAAAAAAAGGTCACTGTCTCCTCTTCTACCAAAGCTATGCAACCCTAATGCTGTTTGTAGTTGCAAAAACTTTGGAAGAAATTTAGGAGAAGAAAAATATGGGTGTTTAGCCCTATAATAACAGTATTGGATGTATTGTAAAAATTGATCATCGGGAAAATTTTTTTTTTTTTTTTTTTTTTTGGAGTTATTAGAGAAAAACATGCAGTGGATCTTAAATGACACTAGCAATAGATCTTTGTATTTATGGTTTCTTTTTCTTTTTGAATTTTCCCCCTTGACATATATTGGTAGTAAAACGGTAGCTTATTTGTGCGTCATGGTTGGCTATTCATTGACCTGACAATCTGTAAATCTATATAGTTTGTCATTGTAGTCTATTTGTTGTTGCAGTCTGTGTGCTTAAATTTTTTCCAATACAAATTTAGATTCATAATAAAATAAAATAAAAAGTTTCATGGTTGCTTGAAGACCTATCTATTTATTGATTTTGGTTGATCAACTGATTTTAGCTTGAGTTATTGATTGTCACTAGTATGCTAGGGGACATATCTGAGCATTTAAGAGGCCTTTGTGGAAATACCTGCGATTAGCATTGATGTGTCATTATTGGGGGCTAATAAGAAATATTGTTTTCAATAACACACATAAATTGCTGTACTATTTTGTTTATTATTATGAGGACAATTTCATATTAATTTGACTATCAATATCATTCTTACATGGATCTTTCCCTGATTAGTGGTTAATTATACGCATATGACATGGATGAGTTTTGTAAATTGGTGCTAACATTTACCCACAAACGGGGCATGTATCTTTCCTTGGTGTGATGCCTTCTTTTATATCTTTAGTCATGTTATGTTTCACTAGGATTGTGTTATGCATGGATTTTTGAATGGTGGAGTCTGAATACATTCTCTTTCATGTCTTTTATTTTTTTCCCTGGCCAATATTTATTTTCATTTTTCCTTGCCTTTCCTTTCCTTGGTGCATGTTTTCATTTGATTGTTGTTTTGGGCCTTAAGCAAAAGAACCCAAAGTTCGCAAGGCAATGATTAGACATTCTTCTGATCTAAGAAGCACGGACACTTCTAAGAAGGTGACGTATTCGTGTCGTGTCCGTGTCGGACACCGACACTCTTTGGACACTCTTAGGACACGTGTCCGATACTCTTCAAAACGTGTCCTATTTTTTAAATATTTTTAAAGACCCGGACACTCTTTGGACACTTGGAGGACACACGTGTCAATTGTTTAAACACATGTGTCTATTGATTATAGATATGTAAAACTAATTATAAATTTGAACAAAACAACTTAAGATACAATAATAAAACAAAAACCATATAAATTTATAGGAAATGGTGCTATATTGCATTTTTTATTATCTTTGAATGATATATTCATAGGGTCATGCTCCGGAGCTCTAATTAGAGCTGCAACAGTGCAGCTCTAATGAGCTGTCCAACCATAAAAAAAATAAAAAATAAAAAAAAAGTGAAGTAAAAGACAAAAAAGATGGAAGAAAAAGACAAATTAGAGATGCATTAGAGGTGTTTGTTTATTGGTCCAAATCATTTTTGATATTCATATATATAACATATAATAAATATATAAAATTATATATTTCATGCGTGCCCTCCACGTGTCGTGTCCTGCATTTTTTTAAAATTAACGTGTCGGCGTGTCCGTGTTGTATTCGTGTCGTGTCACGTGTCCGTGTCCATGCTTCTTAGCTTCTGATTATCTACCTTCCATGCATTTAGATCTTTCTTGTTGGGTGCATGAAATTTTTGCTCTTTGTAAGTATCATTGGCAATTAAGGTTTTGTTATTCTTGCTAAATCTTTGACTTTTTAGTGTTATGGGTTCACTAAGAGACATTGACCATCACATTTTAACTGTGTCTACAAGGTATGTTACTATTATATCCTTGAAATTTTGAACAACAGAGGTTTTGTACCAGCCCTTTTCTTCTTGTTCTTCTTTTCCTTTTTAAATACTAAATTAAGTTAGTTGTGCTTACCAGTTCTATTTACTAATTGGCATTGTCGAATAGCACGGTTCATATATTGTCATACTGCATGCCCATAAGAATCTTTATATAGAAAGAAGAGCATTGTGATTAACGCTGATTTTCTTTTTCTTTTTCTTTTCCAATAGAAATAATGCTAATTTGATTTCTTTTGAGCTATTATGCATTTGGCTAATTAGAGGCACATGGAGTCAGTAACATGTCCAATGACTTTTAAGGTTTAACCCTCAATTGGTGAATGGGTTGTGTCAGTTATTGGGTGACCATTAAATGGTGCAATAATTAGTTACTTTGGAACATGGCAATTAGTACTCTTTGTTGTATAAAGTTTTGGTAGTAATTAAGAGAATAATTTCTAGTGTTCATTATGTTTGTTTTGATATTTGTGCTTTTAGTTGCAATAACTATTATGTGTGCACAAATGTTTTTTTTTTCTGTGGGTTTTGATATCTTTTAGGCTATGATTGAATCATGGATTTGGGTACTAATTTAAATTTCCCTTTCTCTTTTTAAATCTCTATCCAAATCTATGATCCAAACACTTCAATAAGAATTAATCATAAATGTATACAAAACCTTAAATCCTTCATTAATTTAAATTATATGACAATATATACATCATATGTGAGATTGTCTTGCCCTATGCCAAGTTTCATTGGAGCTGTTTAATCCTCAATTATTGAAATTTGGAAGCCCATTTTCTATCTTTCTGGTTTCTATACATGTTTTGATCTCTGTATTTGTTCCTGATTGTTTTCAGAGAGAGAGAGAGAGAGAGGGGTTAAAGATTAAAAGGAAAAAAATTAAAGCTTGCCAGGAACATAGTATGTTCTGGTTTTTTTCAAACCTTAAAGTGTTTTTTTGTTTTTATTTTCTTTATTTTTTCTGAGGGGAAATTTTTCTATAGTTTTGTGTTTATGAATGGACACTGATTTTACTTTTTATTTTTTATTTTTAATCTTGAGTTGGTTATTGATTTGAATTACATGCGTGTGCCTGTGCCGATGATGAGCTCAAGACCTAGGACGCTGAGTTGGTTATTATTTAGGACCTAGGATGCTGAGTTGGTTATTATTTAGGGTTATTGAGAAAATGTGAGAAAGAATAAAAACAAATTGAGGTTTTGAGATCACTGAACTTCTGAATGTGGTGTTTATGCATGAAGGTGTAGTTTTGCTTTGATCTCTCTCTCTTTTTTTTTTTTCTTTTTTTTTTCTCTCTCTTGGGAGCTAAATAAGGTTAAATAGATTTAAGAGATCTTGAAATTCTAAAAAGCTTACTGTAGATCCTACATTCTTTTGGTAGATTACATATGGTACAGTACTTAAGTTGATGCATAAGAAGACAAAGGTCCAGCTGCATTCACATGAGGTTCCATATGGATCTGGAAGCGGGCAGCAGTCAGTTACAGGTTTTTCTGTTGTTGATGATTCAAATAGTTACTGGGTACTCTCTATATCTCTTTCTCATTTTCAAGGCAAGGTCACGATTGTCACGACCTCCACTCAGGGAATCGGCTCTAGCATCGCCAAGCATCTCGGCTTCGCAAACAGGTTCATTTTCATTTTTGTCCCAATCCTTTTAGTCTTCTTTTTTAGGATATTAAAACCTCAATTTATCTGGGTTTATTGATTTTTTCTCAATTTTTTCTAGGTTTGTGTCCTTCAATCTTAAAACATCAATTTCTCGATATCTTTTCATACTTTGATTTTTAGTTGAGTTCATTTTGTGTGCTAGGTTTTGATTGTTCTGCAGAAAGATGTAGATAAGGCAGTGGAGAAGCTTAAACCAAGAGGAATTGAAGTGTTTGGAGTGGCTTGTCATGTGTCTGTAGCTCAACAAAGGAAGAATCTGGTAGAAAGATTGTTCAGGTGAGCAAACCCATCTTATTTGTTATCTTCTGAGAGTAGCTAAACAAAGGGGAAAATGGAAACCTGGGCTTTGCTTTTTCTTGAGTATTTGTATTTCTATCTTTAAGTTGATTGATTTTGAAATTCATGACTTAATTGGTTTGAATTTGTAGTATCATATTGTTCAAGCTTTAATTAATCTCATTAGCAAAAGTCTTTGTATTTTCTTGTAATTATCTTATTGGTTATTGAGAGTTTCATCGTTCTAGGTTAGTTTAACTGGATATCTTTATGTATTCAAATTCAAATTATTAGTTACTAAATTTGATATTTTAAATTGAAGTGGGTCATAATTTATAGATGAAAATGGGTTAGAGAGAGATGAAAATTGATGAACCATTATGAGATACAGAGAAGTTAGTTTCTAATTGCTAAACCATTTGGCGAAAATTGATGAAAATTGTTAAATCATTTGGCGAGATGACTTGTTTTTTAGAGAAAGAAATAGAAAGGTAGAGCTTTAATTTCTATGTTGTTTAATTTGTATATAAATATTCACTCAGTTTGTTATCCTACCATACAACATAACATGTCATGTATAGGACACAACAATATACATACTATCAACCATGCTTCTATAGGAATTTAATTTAATATTCACTCAGTTTGTTATGATTTTCTTAATGTGGACACTAATACATGTTTAGGAATGTAGGATTAGGTGTAATATGAGTTACGCCATGGACTACGAGATTTGTCATGTCATCAAAAAATAAGAAATTTGTTTACCATACTTGTCATGCCCATCAGTTTTGGCATGGATTACCAAATTTGTTCCTGCATGTGGATAAGTGGATATAGACCCATGGGCACAACAAGATGGATGATTTGATACTCATGAATTTTCTTTGTTATGTTTCATTTTTTTATTGGTTTAAATGCATTTGTAATTTCTAAAGAAGAGGCAAATTTTGCCTCTTGATTAATTTGTATTTTTATTTTTCAGGTTAGAAATTATTTGGAGAGATGCAAAATATGGTCAAAGAACTCAAAGACTTTGTGCTTCAAGTTTTTTTTCATTTTTTTAATATATGTAATCACAGTTAATTTTTTTATTATTAATTTCTTTATATATATTTTTGAACATTCAACTTTTATTTTTGAAATATGTGACGTTATTCCATTCAATATATGGATGTGATTCAAATGATAGTATATATATTGTGTATTATATTCTTCAAATGCGTACAAAAATAATATTGATTATTCTTCAAATATGTCGAATCTTTTTTTTTTATCACATGTATTAACTGTGATGAGAAATGCATATAACGTGTGATCTTATCTCATTATTAATCACATGTTTTATTAGTTATACATCACATAAAAAGTGTGATCTAAATGTTTATTATCACACGTACAAAGTGTGATCTAAATATTTATTATCACACGTATAACGTGTGATGGAATCGTCTTTTAATGACACTTTAAATCTGTGATTAAAAATGATCATTTTAATCACACTTTCAAAGATCACACTTTGATAAAATATAAAACGTATGACTAAATATCATATGTCACACAAAAAATGTGTAGTGCATGAATACTTTGTTTTAGCTATATTGATTTAGACTTGGGTATTTGAAGGATGTTGAAACTTGATTGTTCTTATTAGAATGTTTTGTTTGAATTACTTTCTTCATTTGGAGACGAGTTTTGAGATAATTGCTATTTGCTTTATTTTAGTATTTTCATGATATTGATAATATGTTGTTTTGATTTTTTTTTAGGTTAATTTTATAACTTTATCACTGATCTTTATGATTTTATTGTTCTAAAATTAGTGGGATTAGATAATGTATTCAATAGGAATAATGTGTTGGAGTTGGTTGTGTTTGGCATGGTTGTCTCTTGTACATGTTTGTGGTTGGTCTTGAATAGGGATTCAGTTGCTCGCATGCTTTGTTGACTGACTCTGCTCAAGTGTTTGGAGGAACTGGGGTTGTTTTGTTGTTCTTGAAAATAGAGAGGTAATTGTAGGGGCTGATTTTTAGTGGCTGGGTGTATAACTACAGTGGCTGATGTTGGAACTGTTGATGTTTGTTGTTATATTGAGGCTTGATTGTTCTATGCTATTACTTTGTTGTATCTTTTTCGTATGTTTTGTATGATTGTCATCTTGTGAACCTGCTACTGGTGTGTTGAAAGTGTTTGCACATGATTTTTGTGATTTTGTTATGGTGCAATTTTTTGTACTTATTCTTTTTTTTCTTTATTGATGTAATGCTTTGATTTCATTAATAAAAGGTTTTGTTTGCTGATAAATTTTTTTTTTAAAAAAGATTATCTTTCGTAATTTTAAAAATTACATGCTACCCCCTTTACATTTTTAATTACATAATGAATTACTCATTTTATTAATAAATTATTAAATCAATTGACAATTTTCAATGATCATCAAAAATTTATTTCTGAGAATTTTATTGTTATATCGGAAGGTAATTAAGAATTTTATTTTTTTGGGTTAATTTTGTAAAAAAAAATTATAACAAGGAGGTGTTTGTAATTTTCAGAATCACAATGGGCAATTTGTATTTTAAACAAATCTCAAAGGATGTATTTATAATTTATCCAAAAAATACTAGTGGGATGTCATTTTCAAAGTTAAGTTGTTTTTTTGAAAAATATTTTGTTTGTTCCAAACAATGAAAAATATTTTTTTGAAGGGTAAATTAAAAATACACTCTGTGAAGTTTACTTAAAATGCGAATTGTTTCATGTGATTTGGAAAATTACAAATACTTCTCTATCATAATTTTTTATTTAATAGAATTAATTGAAAAAGTGAAATTTCTAACTATTTACCTATATAATAATAAAATTTTAACATTATTAAAAACTGTTAATTAACTTGGTAATTTATTAATAAAAGGACCCATTTGTTATGAAATTAAAAATCTTAGGGGGGCATAATGTAATTTATAAAATCATAGGGAGTAATTTATAATTTAAGTAAATCTCAGAGGGTGTGTTTGTGATTTACCGTTTTTTGAAAATATTTTTCGGTGTTAACAAAACATTGAAAATTTAAAACGTAAAAAGAAATTTTGCAAAAACATTTTATATGAAAAATATTTTATGATGTCAAGTGTTTTATATCGAAATAAACGGAGCTGGGTAAATTACAAATACATTCTCTGAGATTTGATTAAAATATGAATCACTTCTGTAGTTTTGAAAATTACATTCTATCCGCTGATATTTTTAATTTTATAACAAATCGTTCATTTTATTAATAAATTATCAAGTTAATTAATAACTTTTAATAATATTATAAATATATTTTAATTAATAATTTAGATAATTTTATTATTTTATAAAAGAAAAATTATAAATTTTATTTTTTTAATTAATTTTATTAAATAAAAAAATTTAACAAAAAAATATTTATAACTTTTTAAATCACAAAAAATAATTTATATTTTAATTAAATATCAAAAAATATATTTATAATTTATCTTTTTAAAAATTCATAAAAAACAAGAGAAATCTCCTCCCTAATTTTGATTTTCTCACCATAGGTCCATAGATTAGTTAGCCAAGATTCACCCATCACCGCAATCCATAAAACTCTCTCCCTCTAGACCTGTGAGAGACATCCATCACCTCAATCCATAAAAAATAAAATTTTAAAAACCCATAAAAAACAAGAGAAATTAAAAAAAGAAAGTAGTGCCTAGGAATGGTAAAAAATATCATTCACATAAATATCAAACATGTTCTCTATTAAATAATATTTTTTACATTAAGAACCCGTTCCCTCAATGAATGGAGGATTGGGGCATCACAGAAACAGAACCAAAAGGAAACAATTTAAAATTCTACTCTTTGATTTGTGTGTTGTTTAGTTATAATTTTAAAAAATTTATTTTACATTTACTTTTTAAAATACTTATTTTTTAATATAATATATCACATCACTCAATTTAAAATCTTTTTAAAATTTATAATCAAACAAAATTTTCACACTCAAATCATAATTTCAAAATTTACAAACTCAAAATATAACTTTATTTTCAAATCATAATTCTAAAATTCTACCAAACACAATATTTATTTATTTTTAGACATGCTCATGTATATTTCATTTTCAGTGACTCAAATGATCTTTTATAATGGACATTAGGCCAAAGGAAGCAATATTCATGAGATCCAAGGAAGTGAAGTGAAGTGAAGTTTATGGCCATCCCTAACTGTTGGTTCCAAGCCATGGTTGAATGCTGGATCGTTCGCATTGGTGCATAAATTCGCAGGAGATTTCATCACGTCTAGAGAGAGACATGAAGTAGGTTTGAAGCTACAACTAGTCCGTCAATAAAGGAAGAGAAGCAACATAAGAGCAAAGCCAACTTTGGGCACAAGTGGGAGAAGCCGCTGGTTTGGACCCCAAAACATTGACTAAAAAAAAGGTCTTAAATTTTTATTAATTATTATATTGATCTATAAAAAAAATTATTAGAATTTAAAAAGGCTCCGAGTGATGATTTAAAACTAATAGATGGTTGATATGAAAAATTATTTAAAAATAATAGATAGTTATCTTTTATCAGAAGAAATCAAAAAACTCATTAATGTGGTGAATTGTTTGAAATTATCGAATGATTATTTTCTAAATATATGGATTATATATAGAATATAATTAATTATACTATTTGCGGTTACTCTTTTCAAATTAAAGTTGATTAATTCTTATATTTACTCAACTATGTCAAATGAAAGATTAAATGGATTAGCAATTTTATCTATCAAAAATGATTTAATTTATAAATTGGATTATGCGAACTAAATTAATAATTTTACATCTAAAAATGTCAAAAAAATTGATATTTAAGTGCTTTTTCTTATAGTTTGTTTACTTTTTATTAAATACTTCAATTTAGATTATTTTGGACTTGTTCTTAGAAAGGCCACAGCTTCTCTCCAGTCCAAATCTG